AATAATAATAAATTTAGTAAAATAATTTAAGCTGCAATCATTAAAGGATTTAATAAAAGTAATTAATAAAACAAATTACATTCGTGCGACGCATAATGTTAATATGTAACCTTATACAGTATTAGGATAAAACCTATCAAAATCAAATAAATCTTTATTTTTTCAACCAATAAAAAATTAAAATCTCTTAAAGATAGTTTATTTAACCATAATTAAAATAGATAACAATAATTAAGACATATAATATATTTCTTAGTTTGTGATTAAATATAAATTTAGATTAAAATAGGAAAATTAAATTGGTGAGAAAATGCAAAATGAAATTTATCTTTAATTTGTCAATAAAAAGTTTTTGAAGATACTATATTAAATTACCATATTTAATATATAAAACCATTATTTAGTGGTATAGATCATAGATGGGTTATTATCTTATCCAATATAGATTTAAATAGAAAATTAGTAATCATCAATTAAATTGTGAAATAATTTTTTATCTGTTTGAATAAATTATTTTTATCTGTTGAATCAATAAAATTAAAATCATTAAAGAAATAATTATGGTAAAATTATACATAAAAGATATGAAACCAAAAAGGTTAAAAAAATAAACAGATTCACTGAGATTCTTCAATTTTTACATATCAATTGTAGAATAATAAATTGTTGGTTTGATGTGATTCACATGCCTATCTTGCTAAGAGGTTTTTTTGGTAATTGCCAATACTAATTTTAGAACTCTCATCACAATATAAATATGCGATAATGCAATGGAAATTGAGTAGAGAGGAGCTAGAAAGCGTGTGGTTTACTTGCAGAAGAGAGCTTTTATGGTGGTGGAATCTGCTAGTGCTGCTGCTACTGTAATAAGGTACTATTAGACACTAATCCTTTCTTTTATTTCTTTATTTTTTGTATGGTTCTAAAGCAGTTTGAAGAAGGAAAAAATAAAAAAGATTAAAGCTGCTAATGTCTTCTTTTTCCTACTAATTGTTTTCTTGAAATAAACTAAATTAGATCAGTCTAAACTTAATTTATGATTGTAATACTGTTTTAAATCTTTTTTGGTTTTCAAGATCCGTGTTTTAAAACCTGCTGATCCAATTAATCTAGATTCGTATCGAGCATATCCATAAAGCTGATCCAATTAATCTAGATTCGTATCGAGCATATCCATAAAGGGGAGCAAAAGACTCTCTTTTAAATGTTTAAAGGGACTTCATACTCAAGTCTGGTTAATTAAAGGAGAAGAGATCCCTGCCCATCTCACCCTTCAAAGGTCAAATCTTTAATAGTTATTATTCATATTCCCTTCAAAAAAAAAAAAAAAATTATCCATATTAAAAAGAAATGAAGCTCAATTTGTCTTCTGAACTTGAGACAATATATTATTTGCCCAAAAGCCCAAAAATTAACTTTTTATACAATTTGCCCCTTGAATTTCCACCTAAAAGAATAAAATGCCTAGATTTTTAAGAAAAAAAAATTTTATTTTATAGTTTTAACTAATAAAAATTACTTTAAAAATTTAAAATTAGAAAATAAAAGGTTATTTAACAATATAATAATAATTATAAAGATTCACGGTATTTGATTTTAAAATAATTTAACAAGTATTTGATTTACAAAAATATAGAATTAGAAAAAGATTTGATCATATTGAAACATTTTGTTGGAAAAATATTTTTTATATTTTTGTTTGATTATTTTTTAATTATATTTGATTTAAATTAAATATTTAATTACTTTTCAATCATATTAAATTAAATATTTAATTACTTTTCAATCATATTTGATTTATATCAAATAATTTATTTTTGAAATAAAAATTGAGCATTTTGTATTTTTGGTGCGAGTTCAAGGGTAAATTATATAAAAAGTTAACTTTTGGACAAATTGTATGTTTGTCTAAGTTTATGGTGCAAGCCTTATAGTATATTTTAAATTAACAAATTGTATATTTCTTATTTTTAATTTCATATTTGTTAACTTTGTTAATCTAAGTTATTTTGAATTTGAAATAATTTGGGTTCCATCAAAAAAAAAAAAAAAAAGATTCATGAATCATTTGTGGGATAAAATTTGTCTACACTCGATTTGATACACCAACATTAATCATATATTTTTATTTGATACACCAACATTAATCATATATTTTTAAAAAGATTATTCCTATATTGATTGAGGTTAATTTTTTAATTTGACTCAGACTGATAATTCAAAATCGATACGGTTCTATTACCGTTGAAGAAATATAAATATATTTTTCCATTATATAAACTCCACACCTATTCATGGCCATCTATGTATTCAAGAATTTTGAAAATTATTTTATAAGACGAACAAAGTGATGTGAGTCATCATCCATTTAGTTGCATATATTCTTCTTATGTCATAGCACATTGTTCATATTACTATTATTACTATTATTACTATTAAATAAAAGGACGCAATTTGAAATCATGCTAAGCAATTTTAATTTTTAGTGTTCTATAATTGCAGAAATGACAATGATAGAGAAATTTTAACTGTCAAGGACTACTATTTCCTACCAAAATAAAGCTTTAGGGGAAGAAACGTAATTTTTTATATTATAAAAAGCAAAATGTACGCATGATTATAATTATAAAACTATTTTTATTTTTAAAACCGTCAGTTTAAAGTTCAGATTATGAAAAGGGTGAAATGGAATTGGACTGTTTTTACGCTAAAACTATCAATTCTAATTTTAAAAATCAAGAATTGGAATCAATTTGTAAACAGATTACGGTTTGGAATCCGAAACCATTCACCACAATCTGATTTTGAGTTGGAATCCGAAACCATTCACCACAATCTGATTTTGAGTGAAACCATTCACCACAATCTGATTTTGAGTTTGACCAATTTCCATTTTTATTCGGTTCTGTTGTCACAACCTGCAAAATGTAATTTTTTTTTAAGATTTTTTTTTTTCTGAATTTGAGGGCGGTGGCCCCCAAAAACTAGCTGGATTCACCCTTGGCGCAAATAAATTATTATTATTATTATTTGATTAAAAATTCAGTTTTATAATAAGTTTAAGGAAAAGAAGGAAAAAAAGAACACATATTTACTACTTAATTGAAAAGGTTTGGTGTTAATTTTATTTGACCGTATTAAAAATAAACGAAAACCTATTATAGGTATGCATAACTAACTAGTTCTGATATAGAAAATAAAAATATCTCACATATCCTCCATGCTTGGCTTGTAGGGTTTCTTTCTTGCATCGACAAAATGGATTCCATGAATCTTCCTGATAGAAGAAGACTAGTCAGTGGCCATACATCCACCAACCAAACAACCCACCAAACTTTGTGCTATGTAGGGCTAAATTTTCAGACAATATCTGTGCAAAAAGCTGACGATCTCGGTTTGGAAGAACTAATATATAGTGACTAACAGAAGTTACAATTCAAATGACAAACACATTGAATATATCTGTTGAAGATTTCATATATAGTCTAATATGTGTGTGCGCAGTGTTAATCTTAGACCATAGTACTAATGAATGTGTGGCGCAGTGTAATTTTAGAACCGCCCTTCTTTTTCTTCTTTTTTTTTTTCTTTTTTTTTTTTTCTTCTGTATCACGAGGTATTCTGATATATTAAACTAGGAGATAGTAAAAATTTTTGTTCTTAAGAATTCATTAAGGAAAGGAATAAAAATAAGCCAATTTAGACAGTTTTCAGTTAAATAAGAATGCTAATGATGCTTTTATAAATACTTCTGAGTTCTGCCATGGCTGTCGCCATGTATAAGTACTAAGTAGGGCTTGACATGGGTTAATCTGCTGCTCAGGTGCTTCGTCTCTGTGTTAGTTAGTTAGGCCAGATGGATTGAACTAGTCTCACATGCAACGTCCCCAACATACATACATATGGCGAGAGAGATATCGTATTATAGCTTCACTCGCCGTGTGATTCCCGGTAGTCACACCTAACTCGCGTGATTTGAGTAGTTCAATAAAATGTTGTTTTAAATTGGAAGAATAGTGTACATCTTTATTATTTGTTGTAGAAAGGATTAAAAATAACTGGAATTTAAAAGGTATGATTAGAAATAAATAGGATTTAAATTATCCATTCGATTTATAAAAATTAATCTTTATAAATATTGTTTAATATTAATAGTTTCTTTGTTCAATAACAATCAAAGTGAGTCACCACGAAACTCCGATCACTATGTCTCCAAATTTCGAATTCAAGTCAAGAGAGTACCAAACTCGTCTAAAAAGGAAACTTTATGTGTGTATAAGGAGTTGAGAGCGGCTGGGAATTATCTATGTGTGTTGTATCTTAAATGAAAATTGAATGGGTACCAAACATAAAAATGTCGTTCTATCAGATAAAAGTCTGCTAATTCATTATTCTTTTTATCCATGAGTGGTAACAAGATCTGATAAGATATGACATGTGTTCCTAGCATTGAGTATTACTCCTTGGACTCTTCCTACCCCCATGAAAATAAGCAATCGATGCTTTAAGTGTGCATTGACTGTTAGCCCAAGGAGCTTGTCTCGCGAGCGTGTGCATGAAAGTGCCCAGGACGTTACTATCACTAAGTTATTGGCTAATCTGCTGCACTTCCAAGACATCTCCGTCTGAAAAAGTACCCCCAACTAGCAGAGAAACTTATTTGGTAGATTGAAAGTATTGTTTCTCACATATTTGCTTTATTGCAATTTGGATACCTGGTTCAGAGTTCTAAGCGCCTTAAATCAGGTAAATACATAGCCTATCGGAGCATATTTTCATATTCAGCACTCTCTGTCAGTTCTGAACAGGCATGTGCAGTTGAAAACTCTATTGGAACTACAGAAGTAGTTTCTCTTGTGATGATGATGGGGCGATGCCTTCAAGAACTCGGTAAAGAATAATCTTTTGCCTTTATTTTTTTGGTTAATTAAATTTCATCTCAAGATTGAAGTTCTAACTTTTATTTTTTCCCATTATTGAAACATTATGGAGTTGCGTAAATGCACATATACATAACTGCTCATATAATAACTGCTGTTATTGGGTCTGGAGTACTGTCATTGGCATGGAGTACAGCACAGCTAGGATGGATTGCAGGGCCAATTGCCCTTCTTTGCTTTGCAATTGTCACCTATATTTCTGCATTCCTCTTATCAGATTGTTACAGATCTCCTGACCCAGTAACCGGAACGCGAAACTACTGTTATATGGATGCTGTCAGAGTGAACCTTGGTAGTATATTGAACATTTTCTTCTGTTTTTCTTGTTTCTTTCTTTTTAATTTGGTTTAATCATTACAGGGTGATGTGTTGTTTCTAGCTCATTTGATTTAGTGATAGTTCAGGTAAGACGCAGACGTGGTTTTGTGGCTTGCTTCAATACTTAAGCATGTATGGGACTTGTGTTGCTTATGTTATTACTACTTCAACCACTTAAGTTATTTTACTACTTCAACCAGCATGAGGTACTTAATTACTTCCTCCCAAGTACTTAATTACTTAATTAATATTAGGTTTTGTATGTTACAATTTCTTTTGTTATTTCATTATTGTAGAGCAATTCAAAGGTCAAATTGCTATCACAGAGAAGGGCATAAAGCTGCATGTGCATATGGAGATAATTTCTTTATGCTTGTATTTGGACTTGTTTAGATAATAGTTTCACAAATACCAGATATTCACAGCATAGAATGGCTCTCAGTAGTTGCAGCTATCATGTCCTTTGCTTACTCTTTTATAGGTTTTGGACTTGGCTTTGCAAAAGTATTAGGTATGAATTTTCCAATTTGGCCTCTTATTTTTCTTTGAAATAAGGTTTTTTGAATTTAAGCATCTATTTCTGTTCTCATTTTAATTTCAAGATGAATCAAATAAGTCTTAGAGGCAGTTGGAATAGCGAATTCCATTTTGACGTTGCCCTTTCGTACTGCTTTCCGCAAAAAAGATCTCGATTCACTTCAATTCTCTGGAAGGCTGCAAAACCTAATTCTATACACATTCAAAGATCGACGAACAAGCCGATGTAACAGGAGACACCAGCAACCTTTTCCTCTATTCAATCTATTTTGAGAGTCTAGTGGTAAGTGGCATTGATCCTGAGGTTATTGTTGAGTTATTTGAGAATAATTCTTAAACGAAGAATGGTAATCAGGAGGCCTGTGCAATATGGCTCTATGATTTTTAGAAATTGATTTTTGCGTATTGCTTTTTATTATACCCTACTCGTTTACCGGAATTGAGGGTATTTGTTTATGTAAGAAAAAAAAAAAAAAAAAATTTTTTTTTTCTCACTAAATGTTTAGCGGTATTCCCCAAGAAATCAAGTAAGTGAGTGTTTTGACAATACGCATTGACTGATTAAGTTTTTGTCGTGGGGTGAAGTATTTTATATACTATGTTATTTTATTAATTATTTTTTTTTTGGCCGGGAAATTTTTGTCTCTCTTAATAAAAAAAAAAAAAAAAAAATTCAGATCGTTTTTGGTTGCGGCGGGACCTGTTAGTGCGACGAACGTTTGTTGTTTTTAGGGTTTAGGAGCAAATTTAAGTTTAGGATCCCTGGAATGCTCTAAAAGCTGGGAAGCAGTTGGACGTTCCTTTAGATTAACTTGTAGGCATTTCTGGATAAAGTTCCGAGAATTATCAGAGAGAGAATCGGAAATAGAAGGTGGAATACCTTGTCCGATCCGATACCATATCGACCAAGTTTCTTTTTTTCGTCTAGACCCGTGGACATATATTTAATTATATTAGAACCCCGAACTTTATTTATTCAAATTTATTTAGTCCAATTTTATAACTTAGTCTCTAATTTAGTGACTTAAAGACTAGATTATAATTTTTTTTTATTTTTTAGGGCTAAATAATTTTAGATTATTAAATATTTAGACAATCAATTCCTTTAATTGCAATTGTTTTGCTTTAATTACAATTAAATGAATTAATTTGTCGACTTGAGATTAAATTTTGGAGTGATTAAGTCCCTATTGTGTTTAATATTTGTTAAAATAAATTGATTTGATCAATAAGTCACCTAGGTATTGATCAAAATAAATTGATTTGATCAATAAGTCACCAAAGTGACCTCTATTCCTTGAATTGATTTATTTTAGAGTATTAGACAGGTGTACTAGAATTCGTTGCGGATAGTTAATCGGCCTAAAGGAAGGTTGCTATTTGGCTGAGTTTTAAACACATGTTTGGCAATAAGTATGTGATAATTGTTGATTATTTTCCATGACAATGATATATCGGCCCAAAGGAAGATTTATTATTTGTCAGGACTATGTGTAACATCCCTTCCCGGTCCACCCATAAACCCGAATAAATCGAGCCGAGACGTTACAAACTGGTTGACTTAATGACCTGATATGCTGAATTCATAATAGCATGCTGATGTTGTTTACATAAATAATGTACTGCATATTTACAAAACATGTTACTAGTTACACAATGGAATGGGCCCAACTGTGTGCCCTGTACATGCCATGAAACAAATAGACAAAAGATATACATCCAAATGAGTAGCTACCCTGAAGACTGAGTCTTCTACAGATGAACTGCAGCAGTTGTAGGCGGACTCTCTATGGACCAGTCTCAAAACCTGCGAGTTAAACAGGTAACTCGCTGAGCAAATAAAGCTCAGTGGATATCTCAACATAAAAAGGAACACTCATATATAGAAATAAGCATGTAAACACATATAGCACATATAAGCACACATATCGCGATACTTTCAGTTTACCTTGATGGTCTTTATTTCTATTTAGTATACTGTATGATTCATGCAATGATAAAGCAAGATATCTGTATAGCTCCATAAGGTTATAGTGAAACCGAAGTGATAAGAAAAACTAGGAGCTGGAGAGGGCTTATGTCAAGAATGACAAAGCCGAAGTGGGACACTTTTAGGAAATTAACCTCCATATTTGAGCTGGCAAATGGTGGTGTTTCCGGGAGCAAATATTCTTTAGCATGTCTCAGATTGCATAAGAGACTGAAGGCCGCTGGGTAAGTGGGGCTTTACCAGATGGCCACCTTTTAGTCCATATGGTTATGAAACTCTCTTCCTTTCTCAGTATGGACAAATTAGGACTTCATATAATTGCAGCCGAATAAATGGCACTCTTAAACGTCGAAGACCTCATTTCACTCAATTATGGACTCTTAACGAGCTCATTTGTGAGTTCTACAAGATTAATTGCGCCAAGAATTTCAGAGTTGTTTTCAAGAGTACTTGAAGGTAAGTTTCTGATTCTTGTTCTAAATTCCTTGTTTTTGTCTCTTCAAGAGTACTTGGGGGTTAAAGGGATTGACGCGTACTTCCGTGATTGCATGCTTTCCGCTAGATTTCCTTGTTGATTTGCAAGAGTACTTGTTAATTAGCTAGGGTCGCATTACGGATCACTTGAGAAAGGACTGTCCTAAATTTGCTATTTGGCTTGCAAAGAGGGGCAAGTACCTTGTTTTAGTCTGTTATGAAGTTAATTTAACTTCAGCTCCTAAAAACACTTATTGGATGGATTCTGGTGCTACCGCTCATATAAGTGTTTCATTGCAGGGCTGCCTTAACTACAGAAAGCCAACTGACGGTGAAAGATACGTCTATGTAGGAAATGGCGATCCGGTTGAAGTAGAGGCAATTGGACATTTTAGATTATGTTTAAATAAATTATAAACGATACTGTGACATCCTACCGAGTCGAGTCTTAGAGTCGAGTCGAGTCGAGTCGAGTTGAACCAAACCCGGTTGGGGTAGAATGGGATTATAAGTGGACTTACTTGAGTGAGAGAAAATAATTCACCTTTTATCTATGAAATACAAAAGCTTTTATGGGTACTGGTTGCTTGGAATGAAATGTGATAATCGTATAATGTTGAGACATTGACTTACTAGTAAATAATTCTATGTAAGTCCCTTAAGCAAATGGTTGCTTGAATGAATGTGATAATCTATATATGTTAGACATTGATACTAGTTATCATGAATCCCTGCATGTTACTACAAGAGGTACCAAAAGAAAATTGAATATTGATAACTCAGTTGTACTTTGGCATAGACGTTTGGGTCATGTATCCAAATCAAGGATTGAGCGTCTTGTTTCTGATGGTATCTTAGATACACTTGATTACACAGGTTTGGATTCTTGTATTGAGTGTATTAAAGGAAAACAGACTAAACAGAAGAGACTAGGTGCCATTCGGTCATCCAATGTTTTAGAACTGATTCATACAGATATTTGCGGTCCATTCCATATTGCAGCTAGAAATGGCCAAAGATATATATCATTCATTGATGACTATTCTCGTTATGGTTACTTATATCTCATTCATGAAAAATCTGAGTCTTTGGACCTGTTTAAATCTTATAAAGCCGAAGTTGAAAATCAACTAGGAAAGAAGATTAAATCTGTTCGATCTGACCGTGGTGGTGAATATTATGGTAAATATGACGGTGTGAAATATTATGGTGAAATATACGGTTCAGGCCGAAACAACGTCAGGAGAGCTTTGACGCTTGTAGTTGCGTACAAAGGGTGTGGAATATGTTCCATTCAATATACAAATGCCTTGGACCTTGGAGACCCGCAGCATGGAATGGGTGGTATCTTGAGAGACCGTAATAGGACTCTTAATGGATATAGTGTGAAGAGAAGTATGATTAGTCATTCTAATAAACTTGTACCAGAAGGTCCCTCTGTGGGGGTGAAGCGTTAAAGACAAGCAAGCTTATCTACTCAATAGGATCCCATCTAAAGCCAAGTTGCTAAAACACCTATGAACTTTGGACCTCTGAGACGTAAAGCCCCTAAGTCTAAAAGCATCTTCATCGTTGTGGGGATGTCCAGCTCGAAAGCTAGCATTAACAAGCCAGAAATGAAACAAAACTGGACTCCTAAAACTATCAAGGCAGCTAACTTTTGTTGGATATTATGAGCGGGTCTAGGGGTTCAGTTTTATAATCCTACTTTCTCACACACTTCTTCTTATAATCCTACTTCCAGAACTTTTTTTTGAAACGAGAATTGCAACATTTTTTGAGGATGTTGATTTTGGAGGGAGAAATAAAGAAAGAAACATTGTCTTTAAAGAGGAACCAAGTAAGGATGATTCGGTTCTCATTCCTTTTGTTGTTTCTGATAGCGTACAGACTCCAGTTGCTCCTGTCACTATTCAAGATCCAATTCCAGACAATGCTATTCTTCCTTAAGAACAAATTCAACAACCTCAAGAATTAGAGTCTGTTCAAATGCCTTTGAGGAGATCTACTAGGGAGAGAAGAAGTGGCTATTCCAGATGATTATATAATAGTCGTTAATCTTCAGGAACATGAGGATAGCTGTAGAAACCAAGATAAGATGATGATGCCAGCTCTAGTGTTTCTCTATCATGCCAATGCAGAGTTCTGAACTTCTCATAAGTGGATTGAGGCAATGAAACGAGACCGTATAGTCTATGCCAAGACAAGCAAGTTTGGGGTATCATTGTTACAATTACTGAAGGTGGGATCTTGTTCAATTACCTGAAGGAAAGAAACCCATTGGTTGCAAATGGATATTTAAAACCAAAAGGGATTCTCAAGGTAATGTGGAAAGATATAACGCACGTCTTGTAGCAAAAGGCTTTACTCAAAAGGAAGGGACTGACTATAAAGAAACCTTCTCTCCAGTTTCTTCGAAGGATTCTTTTAGGACAATCATGGACTTAGTTGCAAATCTTGATCTTGAGCTTCATCAAATAGATGTTAAGACTACGTTTCTCAATGGCAACATTGATGAAACAATATATATGGTGCAACCAGAAAATTTTGTAATTGGAGATCCAAAACATCTGGTATGCAAATTAAAGAAATCCATTTATGGACTCAAGCGAGCTTCTCGTCAATGGTACTTTAAGTTCAACTAAGTAATTGTCTCGTTTGGCTTTGAGGCAAATGTCTCGTTTGGGCTTTGAGGCCAAATACTGTTGAAAATTGTGTATACCATAAGTTCAGTGGGAGTAAGGTTTATATCTTTTTGTGTCTGTATTATGTGAAATGAACATAGCGTCTCTTGCTTCCACTCCAATTGTAAAGTCTTGCTACATGATAAACCAAAGTTTTTTCTTTCAAAAGCAATTTGAGAAATGAAAATAGATTTAGGTGAAGCTTCTGTTTGTTTTAGGGATTCAGTGAATATAATCGATGATCCTTCAGCGTTCTCGCGAGGTATTCCTTAGGATTATCAACAAAAGAGCTAGTATTGGATAAAAGTGCTCAAGAGATTAGAATATGCAGACCATTGGATACCCCTATTGCAAAAGGTGATAAATTTAGTAATCAACAATGTCCAAAGAGTGAACTTGAAATTTAGGAAATGCAAAAGGTTCCTTATACGTCAGCTATAGGAAGTCTTATGTATGTTAAAGTTTGTACTCGTCCAGACATTTCTTTTATAGTTGGCATGTTAGGTAGATATCTCAGCAATCTAGGAATGGATCATTGGAAAGCAGCCAAAAGAGCCATGAGATATCTTCAGAGGACTAAGGGACATATGCTCACATATAGGAGATCAGATCAGCTTGAGATCATTGGGTATACTGATTCTGATTTCGCTGGAATCATTGGGTATCACTGATTCTGTAATTTCGCTGGATGCCAAAGATAGTAGAAAAAGTCCACATCTTGGAAAGTTTTTACTATTGGCTGGCGGTGATATGTTCTTGGAAAGAGTGTGAAACAACACTCTAGTGGCAACCATCCACCATGGAAGCCGAATTTGTAGCATCTTATGAAGGCATCCAATCATAGCTAATTTTGGCGAGAAACCCTTGTCACTGGGCTGGCGTGTAGTAGGTGGAAATAGAAAGACCACTGAAGTTGTATGTGGTGGAACAGCAGTCTGAGGCGTTTTAATTCTCCAACAACAACAGGAGCTCTTTCTCTAGATCAAAAACACATTGAGATTATAGCCTTTCTTGGCTGTGAAGAGAACATTGAGATTAAGTTCTTGGCTGTGAAGGAGAGGGTACAGAGTGGACAGATATCCTTAGAGCATATTGGAACAAACTCTATGATTGCGGATCCGCTTGCAAAGGCAGTGATACCGAAAGTTTTCCATGAGCACACCGCTCATATGGGTATCGTTTTGTTTGAGACTGTCTAGTTTTAGTGGGAGTCTGCTCTTTATGTATACATTATGGTTTTGAATGCTCTATTTTGTTTTGGATATGTTTTATCATGAAATTTTGTTGAGTACTCATTTTGGTTGATGGTTACACTCTGTATTATTATTATTGTTTGATGGTTACACTCTGTATTATTATTGTTTTGCTTGATCTCACTTTTGTTGGTGACCAGTTGGAAACAAACATGATGATCACATTACATTTAGTTTTCATCCTACACTTCTATAATGAATCTGTGTCATTTAGGGGTATTGGTAAGGTAGTTGATGATGAACTTAGTCATAAGATCTATGGCGAATGTTTCTTCAGCTCTTTATCAATATAATTAATGGACGAGATTGTTTTTGGATACCTCGTATGACTGCGTTTGTTGAGCTCATTTTGGTGTATGTATTTTATTTAACATACATAATGTCGCCCAAGTGGGAGATTGTTGGATTTAATTTTCTATTGTGGGCTTAATATGTAAAATTAAATATGTACAGCAGTCTAATTATAAAGTCAATTTTAAATGCGGTCTTGATTGTGAATAATTGACTATTGAGGTATCAACTAATTATAGATATTAAGTGTAGAGACCATTATATAATTCCTATTTCTTTAAAGGACCGAAATAGGAATTGTACTAACTGTTACTAACCCTACAGGGTATTATAATAAATGGTCGTGGTCCCCCAGAGGAGTTGATATTACGGATTCAGTTTACGGTCCTTGTACTGCTTCCGCAAAAATCGAGTCTTTCAATTCTCTGGAAAGGTTGCCAACCTCAATTCTTAACCACATCAAGATCGACGAACATACCGATGTCAGGTTACGGCAATGGTACGCAACCTTTTCTTATTCAATCTATTTTGTTGAATCTAGTGGTGTGCATGATCTAGGTTATTGTGGAATTATTTGAGATTAATTCTTAACAGCATGTGCATATGGAGATAATTTCTTTATGCTTGTATTTGGACTTGTTCAGATAATAGTTTCACAAATACCAGATATTCACAGCATAGAATGGCTCTCAGTAGTTGCAGCTATCATGTCCTTTGCTTACTCTTCTATAGGTTTTGGACTTGGCTTTGCAAAAGTATTAGGTATGAATTTTCCAATTTGGCCTCTTATTTTTCTTTGAAATAAGGTTTTTTGAATTTAAGCATCTATTTCTGTTCTCATTTTAATTTCAAGATGAATCAAATAAGTCTTAAATCAAATAAGTCTTATTAGAAATTTACAAAAACCACAATAACTAAGCCTTAATTCTAAATTAGTTGGGGTTGGATATACGAATCATTTGTTTCCATCCCGTATTGTGTATAATTAAATCTAGACCTAATATCAAAAATCCATTTAACACCCTCCACCCACATAAGCGTCTATGTAAGATATAGCCAAATTATCTCAGACATTTTTCTCTTATTTGGTTAGACTAAAAAGTAAATAAAAAAATAATTAATAGTTCAGTAATCGAGTATTATCGAATACCTTACAATTGTAAGGAAAATGGAAGGATTCAATGGGGAGCATTATCAGGAGTGCCAAGCTGCCAATGTTGCTGATTTAAACTATGGCTAGCCTTTTAGCACTAGGCGATATTGCTTTTGCCTATCCAACTTCATTCTTTCTAGAAATTCAGGTTTGGCTTCTGTGAATTTTATAATTCCAAATATGGCAGATTAAATTTTTATGAGTGTTTAGCTAAAGACACTGAAAGTTGAGAAATAAACTTTTAATTAATGAAGGACACACTGAAGTCACCTCCTGCAAGAGATAAGACAATGAAGAAAGGATCATATGGTTGCAATTTTCATTACCACTCTTTTACCTCTGCCTGTGGATGCTTTGGATATTGCAGCTTTTGGTGATAAAACACTGAAATTTTATTAAAGCTTTTGGTGATAAAACACCTGGAAATTTATTAACAGGATTTGGGTTTTTTGAGCCTTATTGGCTCATTGACTTTGCAAATGCTTGTGTTCTTATTCATTTGGTAGGAGGATATCAAGTACTCTACTTCATATCAAACTCTTGGATTTCCTATTTTACTTTGTGAAATTAAAGTTTTAATGTGGTTGTCCATATTTTAATCCTCATAAATATTGTTATATTTCCATACTGTTTAAATCATTTTTTAAAAAATAGTTTTATGTTTAAATATTCATTAGAGTTTATTAAGATGTGATTTACTATAAATTTAATACTATGTTTTAATTAAAAACTTTTAAAACATGCCATAAATTACCAAGTGGTACTCCTGTTGGTTTTCTCACTTATGTGGGAGTTCTCGAATTTGAGTCCTCTCAGCCACAGTTATTTTTACCAATTTGGTGAGCCAGCCAAGGAGTGAATTTTGATAAAACTATTCATTGGATTGCAAAATTCTTAGTCCAAACATTGCCATCTCATATTTGGTGCAAATACAATTAATTTTATAAAATTAAAAATATTTTGAATTTTAAATTAATGTCCATTTATAAAAGCATGAGAATGTAAAATTTGTGAATAAAATATATATAATTTGAAAAAATTCATTTGTACCAAAGAAGCTCTCAATAGTTCTGCTTATAGTTTTGAAATTTTATTATGTTCGTAAATTTTTCAGATATATAGCCAGCCAGTGTTTTCATTTGTAGAAGGATGGTTTTCCAACAAGTATCCAAGAAGTGGGTTTGTGAATGAATTCTATACCTTTAAACTTCCATTGTTTCCCCCTCTTCAAGTGAATCTTTTAAGGGTATGTTTCAGAACAGCTTACGTGGCATCAACTACTGCTATTGCAATGGTCTTCCCTTACTTCAACCAAGTCTTAGGAGTTTTAGGAGCATTGAACTTTTGGCCGTTGGCTATATATTTTCCGGTGGAAATGTACTTTGTGCAGAAGAAAATTGGGCCTTGGACAAGAAAATGGATTGTCCTTAGAACATTTAGTGTTGTTTGTCTGCTTGTCACAATTTTAGGCTTGATTGGATTCAAGGCATTATCAGTGCAAAATTAAGATAAACAATCTACGTTGCCATAAACAATCTACGTTGCCGCGGCTAAATATTTATGCATTTTCAAAACATGTATAAAATGTCTGTATTGATATATTGACATATGATACAAATATTTATGATACATATGCATTTTTTGCGAACTGCATCATTTGTAGTATTGAAATAATGTTGTACACGTGTCATCATATAAAAAGCACGAGGAGCAGATTACAATTATAAATATAGGGGGATAAAGGCAGACGTTTCACTCCTATATTCGTTATAGCCTCTAGATTTTCAAAGCTCCCCTTAATTTTCCCAAGAAAAAAAAATATTATAAGTTTTGGGTTTGCAATTGTGTACATGAACAGTAATTGAGATTCTCTACATAATTTCTATCATTATGTATTGCTAAGATAAAATATATTATTGTTGCTAATAATTATGAGTGACATTGCTTGAAATTTTAACAAATCAATCTGAAATTATTATGTATTGCTAATTAATTATGAGTGTAACAGTTGCGTTGAAATTTTAAACAAATCAAATCTTAAAATAAATTTTTTTGAGCTCCACATCATATTTTAACTCAGCCTATAATTTTGTATATAAAGTTACATATATGAATGCTAATATATGGAATGACAGGCATTCAATTTTATAATGAAAGAGTCTAATGAGAATCTCCTAATTTTTAACTTTAGACTAAATTAAACAGTTTAATTTTATAAATATCATATTTACAATACTTCAATTTGTATAAGTTCAACCACTGTAATATAAATTAGATATTTCAAACTGTGCTGTTGCATTCACTAAGTAATTATATATATATATATATTATATATATATATTTATATATATATATATGTGTTGCATTCACTAAGTAAGATAATATATATATGAATTTTTAAATAATGATTTTCACGTTTTTAATGTATAAGTTAAGAAGGTTTTAATAGAATATAAATATTGCAAATGCCACTAAAGTTGGATTTTCATTTATACATTTTGCCATGTCTATACTCACTCATACTCAAACAATACATTGAGATCATCATAGCCTCCTATATCATGTTTTATTGTTCATTGGCTGAATATATAATTTAACCCCTCAAGTTTATTAAAAAAAAAAAATCTTGTGGTATTTTGAATTTTAAAATGAACTTTGTATCATCTTGAACTTCTCTTTTTTAATAATTTCACATCTCGTCATGTTAAAAATAAATTTTTAAAATTTTTGGCTTTTACATGTAAAATAGTAATTTAGTATGTGATTAGTACAAGTTTTGAAATAATAATTTTCACATTTTTCAATAATCTAATAAGTGTTTAATCGATCTAATTTTATAAATTAAGGTGTTTAATAAATCAATTAAAATATATGCAATTTTATAAGTAGAAATATTCAATAGATAAAAGTGACGTTTCAAGGTGCTATAAAATTTTCTGTGAAAAGTATAAGATTTAAATTTAATTATTTAACCCTGGTTCAAACTACAAAAATCAACTTGCTTCAGGCCCAGGCCCAGCGCATACTATTATCACCATGGAGGCTCTCTCTCTCTCTCTCTCTCTCTCTCGCACAACTACCGAAAAGACGTTGACAACTGCCTTTGACCTGTTTTGGTGAAGGAAGTTCTTTTGATTTGAGTTTTGACTGTTAGGAACGTTGTAGATATACCTAGTTTTACATCTAGCGGTAGCACATCAAGTGTTTCCCTTCAAAGAAAAGCACAACAACCGGAAGGACGTTGACAACTGCCTTTGACCTGTTTGGGTGAAGGAAGTTCTTTTGATTTGAGTTTTGACTGTTAAGAACGTTGTAGATATTCCTAGTTTTACGTCTAGCAGTAGCACATCAAGTGTTTCCCTTCAAAGAAAAATTTTGTTATTAGGAACGTTAGTGGGTCGGTTCGAATGGTTTAAATATAATAATCGAACAAAATTTAAAATAGCGGCTTGAAAAAAATTAAATTCAAAAAAAAAAAAACTAGTATCATACTAAATATGAAAATGATCTAATAAAAATTATGCCACAAAATATACATGATTTTTTTTTTTCACAGGAAAATACACATGATTTTGAATAACTATTAAAAGTTTTCAATTAATTATATATATATATATATATTCTTAATGTAGTATAAAAAAATATTATATATTCAGTAAGGTTATAATTAAGTAAATTATAAATATAGAATTTAAATTTGGATTTAAGTACATCTATTACTAAAAATTATAAAAAAAGTATAATTTTATGCGCATATAGTTTGTGTATATATTTATTAACCTAATTTTACATGAATCTTTAACATTTGATATTTTATAAAATAATCTATAATTTATTTAATTAATAAGAAATTATTACCTAATTTTACATGAATCTTTAACATTTGATATTTTATAAAACAATCTATAATTTATTTAATTAATAAGAAATTATTTTTTAGTTATTATCCAATATAATTAATCTCATAATTTGCTATCCAATATATATATATATATAATGATTTGGTTTGATTTAGACGGTTTTGACTCTAAAACTGTAAACCGAACCAAAAGCTCAATTTTTAAACTTTACAAAGTCAAACCAAATCATCAATCTTTTAAAACTGCAGTTTTAAATTAATTTGAATTGATTTGAACGGTTCATGCGGTTTGATGAACCTCCCTGGTTGTTGGGAGTAACGGATCCGGCCGGCCCAAATAATTAGAAAAGGTCAAAAGATAATTTTACTGATTATTGGGAGTAAAAGTAAAATATTCTTTTTCCAAAAATTAAATATGTACAGCAGTCCAATTGTAAAGTCAATTTCAAATGTGGTCTTGATTGTGAATAATTGACTATTGAGGTATCAACTAATTATAGATATCCGTCGTTCTTTCTGACAAACAAACACAGCTTTGAAAAAAAAATTAGAAAATAAATTACTGCTAAACAAACTATAGCTCACTGTTTCAAGTTGAAACTATTTTAACTCCAAACGTGGAAGTTAAAATCTCTCAATCTCTCCCTCTCCCTCTCCCTCTCCCTCTCCCTCTCTATCTCTCCCTGTTTCAAAACAAGAAGTCAAGAAAAGTGGTTGAAGGCTATGGGAGAAGAAGCTGGAGAAGCACAAGAGACACCATTGTTGTATGATCAAGCAACAGAAACTACTCTCGAAAGGACTGGTTAGTATCCATTCTCTTCCTTCTTTAATTCTTCATCTGGGTCTTCTTCTTCCTTCTTCTTCTTCTTCTTCTTCTGGCTCTGTTTAACTATTCAAAAGACCTTGAAAGAAAAAAGATTCAGTTTCTGAAAACAAGTATACAAAGAAATTGGAAGGAAATCTTAAGTTGGGAATTAATTTATCTTTCTTTATACACTTGATGTTATTTTCCGGTTGGATTACAAGTTATGGTTCTGAATTTCTGATATATACACTTGATCTTATAATTTTCTTGGATTCTTGTTCCTTTGCTTGGTCTCCTCTCTGTATTAATTTAATTATTTAAGATAAAAAATATGTATGCAAGGAAATAACAGTAAAGATTCACTCAAGTTATAACTTTTGTACTATATCACTTTTTTTAACTATACAGTCTATACCAAAAAAACAAAAAAAAGATTTCGATTTTCTGTCAGACAGAATTTGGTCCTTGATCAGATTATAAATGAAAATCTCTTTTCATTATTTTATCACTATATTACTTATTATTATTATTATTAATTATTAATTCTATTTTTTCAATATTAATTTTTATTATGTAATAAATTTTGAAGTTCTTTAGATTTTAATTCTAGTTATTACGTAACTAATTTTATAGGTTTTTTTTTTTTTTTTGCTACAAATAATATGGCTGTTCTTTCTTCCTATGCATTTTTATTTTTCGATTGCAATCAAATAACATTTATATACTGCAGAATTAAATAATTTGCAAGTCAACGATAACAGAGTTCTATTATTGTTCTTATTTATAATACATTTTTCATTATAATTTAATTTATTATTTTCATTTATGGGTATTGCAGATGTTATTAGTTATGTTAAAATTATTGTAGATGTAGATAGGGTTAAACAAACCGACTGCATTGAACCGAAAATCAAATGATATTATTCAATTTGGTTCGGTTAACTTGCTCATGATAAGTTTAGTTCTTGGTTTATTTCGGCTTCAACTGAAACTTCAAGGTAGTTTGACTTATTTTATAAAAGATAATTTAGACTTTTATAACTAAATCATACCAACCCATAGAACTTTTATTTTAAGAAGAATTGATAGAATTGAATCCGTTTAATACGATTAGGAGTTCGGTTTGAACATTTAAATTTCAGTTCGGTTTGATTTTAGATTGAAACGTAATATTTGCTCACCCTTAAATGTAGAAGTTGTTAGTTGTTAATCATTCAAAATTGTTATAGATATGGAGATTTTTAGTTGATGGATATATCATATAATGTTGAAAAATAAAATATTAATTTCAAAATCTGAGTAATGTTCGGAATGGGATATTATGCGTGACAATTAGTCTGTAGTATTATTTTTTATTATATAAAAAAAACATTAATTGAAGGTCAAAAACATTTTTTATTTTTTCATCTCTGAATCGTACCAATTTGTTATATAGTCGGTTTAAATTTCAGTACATAACCAATTTGTTATATAGTCGGTTTAAATTTCAGTACATAATGGAGAAATTAAATTTTTTTTTTCTGTTCAGTTATTTTCTATTAAGTTTTAAATATTAAATTCTGTTTTATTCAATTTATTTTTATACACTACTTGATTTTGATTGATTTATATTTCTAAAAATTTTGAATTATTAGGTCAACGTTAGAAATTCAGTCGACTGAATGCTCACCCTATACTAGCATTTTTTATTTCGATCATTATATACTCAATTTTTATACCCTTTTAATTTTTTTATCTATATAATATTAAAATATAAGTTTTTTTAGATTAAAATAAATATAATTTGTTAATTTTTATCAGACTTTACTATACAAACTATTTGTAATATTACTTCTTATGTACTTAATTTATTTTTATATAATGATGAAAGTAGTCTCAAAATAAACTTCAACATTATTCCTGAACTAATCTTTCGGTTCTTAATTTATAAATACTGATTCTTTAAACCTTAATAGATACCAAAAGGAAAATTAAGCAATCACTCAATCTCTAACTCCGACCTCGAACCCCAAATCAATATCTATATATAAATATAATGAAAAATAATAATAAATCATTTTTTACTACTAGGTAAAAAAAAGAAACGAGAAGATTATGTGAATTGATAATGGTGATCACTTTGATTATATTACTTATCCAGTGAATTAGAGAAAGGAATACATGCACATACACACAAATTCTTGAAACTCCAAAAAGTGACCAAACACATAATTATATAGTTCTAGTTTATTTCCAATCTTTCAAGTCAAATAAATTTAAAATATAAAAGAAAAAATATTTAAAAAAATTAAAAATACTTATTCATCAAGCAAGAAAGATATAAATCTCTTACTAAATTAAAGTGATATCAATTAAAAATTAAGTAATATCAATTAAAAATTAATTCAGTAGCGAAAAAAGAAAATAAAAAAATTTAATATTAAGAATAAAACCCGTTTCATGACTCAACATGTAATAAGAAATAAATTATATTAAAAATTGCCAATTTGAATTTCAAAAATCAAACGGTCTGGATATTCTCAATGGAAAAGTCATAATTTTAATGAAATTGTAAAAGTTGTGGACAAATGGAAAAAAATAAAAGAGACCAAAGCCAGTTTATTATAATGGAAATACAAAGCATAATTTCATATTGGGATCAAGTATTGGTCAGGTTAAATGGAGTTAATTCAAGTTATTTTATTTTTCTTTATTGTTCTAAGTTAAATAAATTTTAAAATAAATAAATAATTAATTATAGTACGTTATAAATTAATTAATTACTGAAAAAGATTACGTAAAAGTTTTATCATCTCCAAATAAACCTTCAATTTTCCTTACAGCCATAAAAAAAATTCCTTCTTTCCCATTTTGTTTGCATTGTTTGACAAAACACACATATTAAGAATTTAATTAATAAAAATTATTTTGCCTTTTTAACCCCTAATTCACTAAGATATTCATAAAAGTCCTTCATTTAATCAACAATCATAAAGGTCATTATGAGAAAAGTAATTGTTTAAATATATAAATTTAAAAATCTTGCAAACATTTTGAAACGTCCAAAAAAAGAATAATAACCAAACAAAATGGGCTAGAGAGAATATACTTTTTTCTTTTTTTATATCTTTTCTAAATAAAATATTATATATATTCTATTTGAAATTTATTTTTTAAAAAATGCATCCAATCAAATCATACAAACACAAACACAAAAGAAAAATAGAATTATATCTTTTTCTTTCTTATTCTTTTCTCTAATTATATAAAATATCTTTAAATTATATTCAAAATGAAATCAAAGATTTAAAAAATAAAAAATAATAAAAATTTTCAAATGTCTTGTTATCATTATATATTGATTAAAAATAAATTTTAAAAAGATAAAAACTTAAATATTTTGAAATTTCTTAATTTTTATATGTTTAATTAAAAAAAAACATTATATAAAAAAAAACATATTATCATCTCCTAAATAAATATACATAGTTTTTTCTTTTTTATCTTCTCTCCTACTAATAAAAATATTATATATTCTATTTGAAATTATTTTTTTAAAAATATATTCAAATTCAAATTATACAGACATAAAGAAAAAAAAAGATAATATATTTCTTTTTTATCTCTCTCATAAATAAGATATTTTAAATTATAATTTAAAATTAAAATAATAAAAATAAAATCAAAATATTTAAAAATAAAACATAAAAATTTTCAAATGTCTCATTATCGTATATATTTATTAAAAAATAAATTGAAAAAAGTTAAAATTTAAAATTTAAAATTCTTAATTATCTATTTGTATTTATTTAAAAATAATTATTATAAATTATATTCAATCAACTAATAAAATGTAATTTTCTAATTTGCTATAACTGAAGTTATTTTAGATATTTCAAATTTCATTAAGAGCGAAATTGAAAATCACATCATTCCCCTATTTTCACATTTATAGATATTTATTTATTTACCGGTATTATTATTATTTTTTTTTGACATGTATTTACCGGCATTGATTGTTAAGTTGAATTGTTAGTTTTTAATAAGAAAGAGATCTTTATTCTTTTAAACTTCCAGATAGTTTTTGTTTTAAATAGAATTCTGTAGAAATCAGGGTAATCTTTTGATTGTCAGGAAGTTACTTGGCAGGAAATTTTAATATTTAAAACTTATTTAACATTTAATAAGTAATTTTTTTCATATACTCATTCTTTGTCAACGGGAAGAAAAATTAGAAGAAGGATTTGAAGTTTTTTATTTTATTTGAAGTTTTATTCAGTTGTAATTTGTAAGGGTTTGGACTTAACATTAATTATTTTTAAAGCGATATAATTTTTCAAGCAACCCGCCAATAATTGTTCCCATATTATGGATTAAAAAAATAATTGTTCTTTATTATTAATTTGACTTAGTTAATTTGAGAGTTTGAGGATATAAAGTTTCAAGTTTAATTTAGTGCAATTTAGTTTTAAATTTATTATTATCTTTTTTATTAAAAATTTCATCGATTAATATAACCTAGGTTTAATTTATTTTTAATTCACTAAGTCAAAAGATTTTGAACCTTTTTGCTAAAATAACCTTAATAGTGATATTATTTTTTTTATTTTTTTTATTTTTATGCTTAATTATCTATATATATTTATTTTAAAATAATTTAATAAACTTTATCCATTCAATTAATAAAATGTAAAATTCTAATTAGCTATGACTAATGTTATTATAGGATATTTCAAATTTTATTAAGAGTGATATTGAAAATTTTATGATTTTCCTATTTCCACATTTCTATATATATATATTTGAGAATTATATAACCGCATTGACTATGAAGAAATAAATTTTATGCAGGGACGGTATGGACGGCAGTGGCACATATAACAACGGGAGTGATAGGGTCGGGCGTACTGTCATTGGCATGGAGCATGGCTCAGTTGGGGTGGATCGCAGGTCCATTAACTATGGTGTGTTTTGCTTTTATCACCCTTTTCAATGTGTACCTTCTTTCCAATTGCTATCGCTCTCCCCATCCTGAATTTGGTCCTGCAAGAAATCCCTCTTACCTTACTGCTGTTGATGCAAGTTTAGGTATGGTATAAATTAAACTTTATTTTCTTTATTCTTTTTCATAGAATTAAAACTTTATTTTCTTTATTCTTTTTTTTTTTTTTTCTAAAAAATATTAATTATTTTATACGCAATTTATATCAATTAACTTAAGATAATACGGAAAAACTAAAGATAACAAGTATATAGACTATGAATTTGATACTGAAGAATTATAAATTACATAAATTATTAAAAAATTGCTCTAAAAATTATTTAAAGAATTAGGTAATTTTAATTATATGATAATTGACAAATTTAGGTGATTGGGATTCAGGGCTAGCCTGGTGATTGGCAATTGCATGAGTTGACTCGGATCGATATTACTTCCAATCTCTCTTCCCCCTGTAGATTGATTACACCTATATAATTTCATATAAAGATATTAAACTTTAATTATTAAAAATTAACGCTTTTTTTTTTTTTTTTTTTTAAATTTTTTTTTTGTCAAAGCAACAATCATTAACTTTTATTTAAATGTTAATTATTGAGTGACGCCACTAAGTGGCCCACTCATATATTATAATGGAAATCACTATTATATATCAAAATTATATTATTTCCTTTTTCTATTTATTATTTACATTAGAAATTTAAGGAGAAAAGTGTGTGGAACTAATTAAAACTAAAATTGACACTTAATTATTGGAACTAATTGAAATATAGTTTATAGGAAATCAGATTTAATCAAATTGAATTTTTTTTAGTGAATGGTCAAAAATACTTTTATTTTAACAAAAAAATACTTTTATTTTAACAAAAAATAATTTTGACTGAATGTATTTGTAAACTGAGTCTAGACAAGTCAATTTTTTATTTCCTCAGAATGGTTTATTTGTTCTTTTTATATATGACATCATGAGAAAGGCTGGTAAGATATTTCTTGGAAATAACATAATTGAATTGTCCAAAGGCATTTGAATGTTAGTTGCACCCTAGGCCAAAATAAGGCCAGAAAGGATTTAGAAGTTGTCACAATAAGGATTAATCCCTATCTACAATATAATTATTATCAAAATGCAATTTTGAGGTGATTTAAATTAAATTAAAGAACATCTCTGTTTTCTGATTATTTGGTGTGCAATAAGTTGATTTTGATGATTCAGGAAAAAAGGCTTCTTGGTTGTGTGGACTATTTGTGGAAATAAACTTATATGGAGTAGGAATTGCTTATAATATTACATCTGCTATCAGCATGAGGTATGTTAATTGATGAACTGCTCCTTGTTAGGGCCCTCTATGCAACTTGCTAAAATTAATTCAAATCATCTAATCACTAATTCAAGCTGCTATAAAGCGGTTTGATGCGATTCAGTTTTCATTTTAGTGCTATACAAAATTAAACATAATGACTAAATTTCTTTCATTTTATAATTTCATTCATTGAAAATAATTTCATTCATTGAAAGTGTTATCTTTTTAAGTCAACAATTTGGTATAAAACCGAACCAAACCATTAAAATTAAACAGTATAAAACTGGCAGTTAGTATTTCTGAAGAATTGATATAATGCTGCTTTATTTTTCTTATTCTTCTTTTATGTGGATGAAGGGCAATTCAGAAATCAAATTGCTACCACAAAGAAGGGCATGAGGCTAGCTGTGAATATTCAGACACTTTCTATATGCTAATATTTGGAGCTGTTCAAATTATAATGTCTCAAATACCAGACTTCCATAACATGCAGTGGCTTTCATTTGTTGCTGCTGTCATGTCCTTTGCATACTCCTCCATAGGATTTGCACTTGGCTTTGCACATACTCCTCCATAGGATTTGCACTTGGCTTTGCAAATGTTATAGGTAAAGTTAAAACTCATCAACCATTTATTTAAATTTTATAATTTGTATTATCAAATCAATATCAACTAATATGAAAGAAATTTCATTTTCTCTATGTAAATGACAGAGAATGGATATGTTAAGGGTAGCATTACAGGAGTCTCTGCCTCTAGTGCATTGACTAAATTATGGAAGATATCTCAAGCGCTAGGGGATATTGCGTTTGCATATCCATATGCCTTAATTATTTTTGAGATACAGGTATTTTTTGTAAAAATATTAGTTGATTACATTACATCACATTCGATTATAATGTAACGGGCAATATTTTATATGTAAACGGGCAATATTTGAATTTGAAAAACCTGAAAGGGAATACCTTGAAATTCACCTCCGCCGGAGAGATGAGACATGAGGAAGGCCTCTACAATAGCAATCGCTCGTGACAACATTTTTCTATCGTGTGTTGTGGAGGTTTTTGGATATGCAGCTTTTTGGAGAAGATACACCTGGAATCTATTGACAGGAATTTGGGTTTAAATGAACCATAAATTGGCTTATTTGACTTTGCCTTAATGCTTGCATAGTGGCTTCCATCTAGTAAGGAGGCTATCAAGGTATTCTAATATATATATATATATATATATATACTATTATAATCTTATTTTATATATGTTCAGCCATTGTTATTGTCTTTGGCAGGTTTACACTCAGCCAGTATTTGCAACGATTGAAAAATGGTTTGCAGAGAGATACCCAGACAACATATTTATCAACAGGAATTTCAGCTTGAAACTCCTGTTGTTGCCAGCTTTCAAATTAAACCTCTTCAGGATGTGTTTCAGAACAATATACGCAATGTCAACAACTGCGATTTCAATGATCTTTCCTTACTTCAACCAGGTGATAGGATTGTTAGGAGCCTTAAATTTTTGGCCTTTAACAATATATTTTCCTGTGGAGATGTATTGTAGGCAGAGAAATATTGAAGCTTGGACAATCAAGTGGATTATGCTCCGAGCTTTTAGTATTGGGGTCTTTTTTCTATTAGTATTGGGGTCTTTTTTCTAGCAGCTTTTGCGTTGGTTGGATGCGTTGAAGGGCTTATAAGTGCAAAATTAAGCTAAGTATCATTCGCATGATGACTGTTGTTTGGAAGGAAAGAAAAATTGCATAGCTGAATGTTAAAGTACGTAAATAGATTGATGTTTATCTTATTATTTTAAATAGCTCAATTGTATAGCTGTAGTTAGTTCCCGAGATTATAAGGTTACATATTATTATATAAAGAATCAAAGTTAATGAAAATCACATGAATGATTTCCTTCATGGCATCAGAGCCCTAATTTTTTCTGCTGCCTATATATATATAGTATTATATATATATATATATTATATATATATATATATATCTAATATATATATATATATTTATATTTTCCCAACCCTTATTTATATTTTCCAACCCTATTTTTCTTCTTTCTCTTCTCTTCTTTTCTCCTAGATGGCCGGCAAAACCGATTTTCACTCAGCCCTTGCTGTCAACAATGTCAAAAATTTCATCCCCATTACTCTTGAAATGGAAAAAGGACAGTATTCATGGGCTGAACTTTTTAAAATCCATTGTCGTGCGTACAAGGTGATTAACTATATCATTCCTCCAAAGTCGTCTGAAAAAGGCTAGGAACAAGCAGCTGAAGTCGATCCTGAGTTATGGTCACGATTAGACGCCATAGTTCTTTAATGGATTTATGGCACGATTTCTAATGATCTTCTTAATACCATCCTAGAGCCGGATACAACTACACACCGAGCATGAGAACGTTTGAAAAAATATTTTTCTGGATAACAAAAACTTTCGTGTTGTTTATCTAGAAAATCAATTCACTCATGTTTATCTTGATGATTTTTCAAACGTTTCTGCTTATTGTTAGGAACTTAAGATGCTTGCTGATCAACTTTCAAATGTTGGTGCACCGGTCTCAAATCAAAGGTTAGTTCTCCAGTTAATTGTAGGATTGAATGAGAATTACGATGGTGTTGCTACTTTCATTCAACAAAGTGATCTATTGCCTCCGTTTTATGAGGCACGTTCAAGGCTTATCCTTTAGGAAACCCGCAAAGCTAAGCAAATAGCCACAGCCTCTAATGCTGCTGGAATTGCTCTTCTTACTACTGGTAGTTCGGATGACAATTCTGTCTCAAATCATTGACTTCAATTTCCTTAAAAAGACTCATAAATAAGAGATCTAAAAATTATAAATAAATAGTCTAAATTTTTCCCGAAAAATCAACTTTAATATGGTGTACCCAATTTTAAAGGAATAATTATCAGATAACCAATAGTTAATTAATTATTTCTTTATTTAATAAAATAATAAAAAAAATATAATTTAATTCTAAAAAGATCAAAATATATTGTAAAACATTGTGCGAATGATGAATGTTTAAAAATTATTATAATTATAACATTTAAATTTGTTATAACTTATATTTTGATATGTTTATTATAAAATTTGTTATAACTTTATTTTGATATGTTTTTATTATTTATTATTATATTGAATATATAATATTTGATTTGAATAATGAATAACATAAAATTAATAGTTATAAATCGATATTTGATTATGAATGTTACAGAAAATAATTATACACTTATAATTATGTCATTAATTTTTCACTACAAAATTATTTATAACTATATTTTGTTAATTTTGTATGAATTATTATAAAAAAATAAAAAGTAAAGATCCCTTGAACCGAATTGACCTAGTCTAATTGGAATTCAATTATCAAGTTAGTTTGATGTCCGGTTCCATTTAAAAAAAAAAATGGTCAAAACCACATTTCCATTCGATTTAAAAAAGGTTTTATTAGTGCTTTAGAACTCTATAAAGCTAATAACTTTTTTATTTACTTGTATTGTATAAAAAAAAAAAAAAAAAAAAAAAAAAAAAAAAAAAAAAAAAAAAAAGAAACAAGATTTAAGCTTGCTACGCAGGCCAAATTACAGAGAAAGAAAAGAAGAAACAATGGTAACAATACAAGTCGCCGGCGGTGGCTACAAACCACGAAGTGGACCCGTTAGAAAGAGAAGCGGTTGAATCCTACTACTATTCATGTGAGGAAACCTTTTAGTCCCGACTCTCTTTACAAGAGCTAGATCGTGTTCAGGTGAGAGGACAAAGAGAAACAATAATATTGTAACTGATGATCAGGTTCAAGTGTCTGATAATCCTAAAAAGATAGAATAGTTGATGTTGCTATAGAGCAGCCTACAACCAACCATAACAATATTGTAAATTTCAAGAGACAAAGATAGAATAGTTGATGTTTCAATTTGTTGTCTTTGTCTCTTCCTTTCAATAATTTTCAGATCCCTAACTTCAATTGGGTGGTTTTTGTAAATTTCAACAATAGAAGGAAATGTTATTTTAATAATTTTTATTTTTTTGGGTTTCACTCAAAATGACTAGTTATAGGTTGATAACTCAACATATTTTTAAAGTCAATAAAAATTCAAACGCGACATATTAGCTACCGGATTAGTTGTATTTTCGACATGCCATGTAAGTCACAGGCATTTGATTAAAAATTTTTAATGGGTTCAAACACCCGATTGCAAAAGTTTTCCATTGAGGCATCAAAATAGAACATTTTCCATAAGACACTAAAATTATAATTAATCCAGTAAAAAAATATTTATTCACTCAAAATATTTATTCACTAAAACACACATGTAATCTGGTGATTTTGGTGCAATACATTTGATATGTAATACGAACTAGACATTGGATATCATTTCGAGGTACGAAAGTTGGAGTTGTGGTAATTATTCGCTATTTTTCTGTCTTATCTTATAATTTCTTAATCTAATTGAACAATAAATTTTGCTCTTATTTCCATAATATTTTTTTTCTTAATCTAATTGAATAATATATTTTGCTCTTATTTCCATAATATTTTTTTAATACAATCAGAGGGCTCCAACATATATATCACAGCTCAACATCACCAACATGTAGTACTCCATCATTCAGTCGAAGATTATTTAGCATATTCGGTGCAATGAATGAAGAAATTCGTAATGAAACTCCATCATAGAGTGCATAGGGAGGGGCCACTCCACCCACTGACAGCGTTCTCACCATGTCTGTGCTCTCACCTCAGGGTGACCCACATTATTATAATTCCACAGAACATCACAAATAAGTCATATCCAATTATAAAATTTCACATTATACACGTAGTGTGCAATATCCAACATCTCCATATATTTCAATATATAAATATGTGTATTTGATGCGACTCATGACATACACGCCTATATGGTATTTTTATATGTATGCATGCTTCGTGTAAATATCATATTATTCATATATGCATGAATGTAAAATGCATGAGTGATGCGAATTATTTAACTCTGGTCATAGTATTTTATCGTTCTTAATAGGACTACCTTTATTCTAGCTTCCTTCCGGCTTTTGTTCTGTCATTCTAGAACCTTATAAGAATTTAGAAAAAAAAAAAATTCTATGTAAGAATTCTAATTCGAGGAATTTAATTCTCATTCATTTATCAATTTTAGCCAATATAGTCATTTATCTTAACTTATCAAATTGTATAATTGCTATTCCTTTATTTACTTATTTACTCTAATATATAAACTTCAATAAAGCTTATAGTCCGTTAGTAAGTAATGTTTTACAATAATAATAATATAGTAATAATAATAATAATAATAGTTTTAGTCATTAGTATCCATTAATTATATAGCTAATTTAATTTAGTTTTAGTTTTTTTGTTATAAGTGTTTTTGCCGTAAAGTCGGCAGTATTTCCTTTGTAAAGTTGGCAACATTTTCTTTATAATCAAACTGTCCGTATTTTACACATCACAAAAATAATCTATAGCACATCCATTGAGCAATTCATAAAAACTTCACATTCGCCATTATCAACATTTCACACTCACAATATCGATATTTCTTGCTGTCTTTGATTAATTCATTAATAAACTTGAACCATCTTAAATTTCAAATTCACACAGTTAACAAATCCTTGTTATCTTTAATTGATAATTTCTTTTTTTATTATTTGCTAATTTCACTAAGTAACTGAAATTAGTCACACCGATGATCTCTCACGATTTACTTACTACGTAATCAAAACCAATTTAATCAAATAACGACAATTTCTAATTTTGTATTTACACTAAAATTATTGAGTTGAATCTTAAAGTATGCTAATCGCCGCTTGCGGATTCGAGTTCAGTGCGAGGAAACGGATATTCTACCTACTAGGGTCTTGCCGAAAC